CCAATATAATAGAAATTCATATAAAATGTTTTTTCCGCGAAAAGAAAAACTTTTTTTAAATTTATTTATATATTTTTTTTTTTAATTTTTTTTTTTAACTTTTTAACTAATAATATATTTATGTATATTATTTCCTGTAATACAACATTAAAATACAATTGTCAGAAATTGGTAATAATGACAATGTTATACTTTGATTAACGTGACATTAGGTTCTCTAAATTTCACTACTTATTTTTTGTTAGTAAAAATTTTATTTTATTAATAGTAGTATATTATAATTGATTTGGGATTTTATTGAGGTAGATCAGCTTTATTTTATTGCAAATAACCATTAAAAGTTTTTAGAAAAGTCTACAAAGCTTCATTTATCCAAAATGTTAATTAGTAAGGATAATCTTGGTCATTATGAAAATTACAGAATAAATAAATCTGAAACTCAAAGTATAAAATCTAAATAAAGATACAAATGTTAGGCTTAAAAAAAATCACTTCATTTAATACATATATATTACAATTTTAATCTTTTTAGCGTATTGTATTCCCATCTAGATAATAACAAAAAAAAAAAAAAATGTGATCCTCAATCACAAAAATATTATTATATCCATAACAACTAAAATATTATAAGAAATATATAAATAAATATATGTATTTCCATTTATAATTGAAGTAAAAAATTCTTGAAATGGTACATATTAATTTTAAGTACAATACAAACAATTTTTTTTTTTTTACGTTTTCTTGTAAATAAGTAATAATTATATTCATCTGTAGTACCAGAACCAAAATTTGTAGTTAGGGTATACTTATATGTTAATCAGATATAACAATCTCAAGAATTTATTAAAATTTTAATAATATTATTATTAAAAATATTATTAAATAAATAAGACGTAAATTATTAAACCTTTCAGTAAATGTATAATTCACAAAAATAATAACACGCTGACCAACCACTGAACAATGACCAACAACATACCACCAAAATATTATGAAATAGGGTAAATATACCAAATGAGTATAGAGTTTAGCACCACTGATTCTCATAAAAAACTCCACTAACCATTTTTACATTTTTTTAGAAAATTTTATGAATTACGACTTTAAATGTACTTAAGTGTTAGATCTTACTAAAATTCTTTATTCATCAAAAATAACCTTGATTTAATAACTATTGATCACATAATGGTTATAATATTTGATTAATAAAATGGTAGGTTGTGTGATTTTAAATTTAAATCTAATAATAATAATCATTTAAACAACAATGTTTTTTGATGAAAATCAATCAAAATTATTTTTATATTGATCGTACGCATTTTTGAAAACACCTGTTAAACATCGATTAATATGCTTCTTATATACGGTCGTTAAATCATATACGTATTGTACAAGATATCCAGAGTCCGAAGTAACTTTTCTTTCCTACAAAAATTGTTTTATTAACTCCTATTTGTACAATATTATTGTTATGATGTTGAAACAAATCATCAGCACCTGGCAAATATCATCCATCGTAAAAATAAGTAATATGAAAATAGAAAAATACCATATGTAAATGGTTTTTATTGACATCCACTCTAGGTGGTTTTTTAAAATTATTATATCCAAAAATAGCAACGAATCGTAAATAATATATTGCGTACCGTTACCAAAAGATATACATTTATATATATAGTATGTATATATGTAAGTATATTATGCATTTGCGTGTAATGTACCTTACCGATCAGCATTCATGATTTATTTATCATATAATATTATTAGGATATTGGGTACCTACTATATTTTTATTTGTTTTTATGGTAAAAATGATATTCAAAATTATTCAAATAAATGAAAAATAATGTATTTACGATAATACCATTATTATGGTATTTTCCAATATTTTTCAAGTATCAACAGCTGATCATGTATTTTTGATTGATTTTATTTTAAAAATAAGAATACTTTAATTTTAATATAGCATTGAACAGAAATTAATCGTTTTGAATAATGAATTTCTAAGAGGTTTCCTGTGCAGTTATATATAACACAGGTACATAGGAATAAATTGATTTTTAATAAACTCAAAATAATTGGAAAATTATATTCATTTGAACTTTGCAAAATATTTTATCACCAATAGTTTAATAAACGGTATAAATAAAGTAGAGGACTTAAATATATTCAAAATTATCATAAACAGTTTAACACAGATGTATATGAAGATGATACGAATTCTCGATGAACTTATGATAACTTTTGATAGTTTTTAGGGAGATCAATTCAAATGTTCTGTTTCAATCAATTTAAAGACCAATACCCTATTTTTGTTCAAACATATTTTGTGCCTAAACGCAACGTTAAATACATTTAATTAAAATATTTCATTATGCGTTACGATTACTTACATATTATTTATTATTAGTATTTATATGATATACGTTGGCATAATAGAGACCTATTCTGGGTATGATAGAGACAAAAACATAATTGGAAAAGTGCTTATAAGTCTCAAATCCCCAAACAACTTCGTTTACATAACAATAAGTGATGTATTCATTGAAGACCAAGGGAAATTAATATGATGTGGAAAATAGATTCTGACTGAAGCTTTAAATAACGCTTTTGTGCGTGGAATTATTTGAAATAATTGAAATATAACATTTCATACGTGTAAGTTAAATTGATTTTTGTAAATTAAAACACCATGAGCGTAAAACTAATTAAAATATTGAAACCATCGATGGAACTGTTCTTGGAAAGACATTTTCATCAAATTTTATTAAAAACCAATGTTTTTTACCACACAAAAATAATAACACTAAGAAAATAATTTGTCAAACTCTATATTTCAATGTAATTTAAATACATTATTAATAATAATACTAGATTAATAGTACTAATAGGTAACTAGCGACCCATAAAGTACTTACTACTTACATCTAACTACCTACTACTTACACCTGCCACATTATAATAGTATTTTGATTTTAAATTTTAACTGTTTAGTTAATAAAACGAGGATTAGTGAAAATGTTAATGGATTTCTATATAAGTACGAATAATTTATACTATAGTTTATTCCTGTATATGAATATAAATTTAATGATGCAAACCATTTTAATCAGTTGAGAATAATCTCATACTTAAAGATTATTATATAACCTTTGAGGTTTCAACAAATCGAATGCCAATCTTATCCATCTACGATAATGGTATTCAATATAATGATGAAATTTGAATTAAAATTTGAATTATCAAACTAGTATAAAGATACAACGCATTATTGATTTTTCAAATCCTGGTATTTTTCTTCAATTTTACAAAAACTTAACAAGTATTTTTATTAAAAATAAATCAGTTTATTGGTATAGCGGTAATTCAAGATTGATAATCATTGAGATTAAAAATAAATAATTTTTACTTTAAAAACCGTGGTCAAAGTTATCACAATATTTTTGTAGTCACTGGTGGCGTCATCATGTCAAAAAATGCAAATTCCAATAAATATCGTTTATCTCGGTGACGATACGGGTCGACAAAAGTACTGAAAATCACAACCTGTGTTTGTCTGCATTCGACGAGGATAAGTTTAATTATTAGATAGACTCCACATGCTGTGCATTTGGTTTATTTATCTTTGTTTATTAGATAGCCATGTATGCAACCAGTATGTCCTATCCTTAAACGTGTTGATAATACTTTTTCTTTTCTATTAAGCTTAGCTGTGTTTTTTCAGTGTTCTATTGTGCGTTTTGTTTCACTTAGCTTAGTATTTTTTCCTCTCCATTTTAGTGACCATATTTCTCCAATCACAGTATTGATACATCTTAGTGTGTCTTCGTCAGAATAGTATTCTCGCTTATTTTTATTTTCTCATTATTGGCTGCTTCCTTTGCTAGTCAACTCTTTTGTTTTCTTCAATGTTACTATATCCTGGTATGCAAACAATAGTTATTTTATTTTCATGGTTATTTACTGCTTTAATTATTTTTGACGTGTACACCAAGATAACTATCCGATGTAGAAGAAACACACGTAAGTACGTAAGACAATCTTTTGATTAAAAAGAGTTTCCGTCAACATTAATACAGTTCTCAACAATAAAGTAATGGAAAATGATACATAATGACTTAAAGTACAACTAATGTACTAGTACATTTTTATTTTTGACATTTTGCTCTAGGAATTCGTTGTATGCTGTGGTGTAGTGTTTGTGGTTTATGGAGATTATTCAACGCGATGCATTCATCATCGGAAAAATCCATTTAAAATATTTTTAACAAAGCGAATAATCGAAAAAAAAATGTAAAAAGTTTTTGTTGGCGCGATCGCAAGCGAATCGTGTGTTGGGCCTACCTTGTAGTGACCAGTCGTAAGCAGTATTTATAACGGCCATATATCACGCTGGTCGTTGGGTATCCGCAAACGGTGTCATTGTAGTTGGAACGTGGTGACACAAACAGGTGAAACAAACCGTTTGCCCAACAATGATCTGTTTATTATGGTAAACTCACGGCGAAACATGACCATGCGACCGGTCGGCGGAACTGACAATTTCATTGGTTATCGAGATCGAAATCGACCGCGAAACAAAAATATAGCGTTTGGAGAGAATGACAGTAATACGACGACCAATCGATGTTTTTATCACATTTCCTTCATTTTTATCATGACAATGTATCATTATCGATGATTTAGTGGTCACACTTTCTGATATATAAACTCGACGATAAACTCTAAATAGTTACAATGGACAACCCTAATGGATAACCCATTACTTCCCTCAATGTCGATTTATTTCCTAATTACATTAACAATCACCGGCCGACAAGCCTATCTTGGTCGTGGATGTTTGACGCATTATAATTCTCTGGTTTTAGGTCAATCGTTTCGATAAATCGGAAATATCGTTCGTTTCTTTTACTTCTAACGATTGACAAGTAATCGATGATAATTTTAATATCGAATTGCCCTGTGTTTGACAGGCTACAAACTAAAACATCACGTACCTGCAGCCAGTACGGTGCTAAATCCAGTCGGTATGCCCAGTCCGAGGTTCGCGAACGATCCTTTCTCTTCGATGCAAGCCACACTGCCCATGACGACTCCCAGTATGCCGCAGACAATCTGCGGACAAAGTACATTTGGGTTTGTTGAGAAAAAATTAATACAAAAATTACAAACCGAAAATCGCAATAATACGATATACGATATAAAAATAATACGGTTTTCGTTAATCGAAATCAACCGAAACAAATTTAGTAACATACTAGTTTTATTTAATCGAAATAATTAAATTAAATGGTCATATTGCCGCTATTTACACAGATTTAAAAAAACTTTAGAGTCGGTCAACTATAATATCTTGGTATTAAAACTAAAAAAACTTGGTATAGGTTTTCCACTATTATCATGGTTCTCATCATATTTAACTAATAGATAATTTTATGTTAAAATAAACGTACATTTATCCTTAAACACTATTGCTTCATTTAGTGTATCTCAAGGCCACCCCCTATCCCATCTTTTATTTATTATCTCTATAAACGATATTGGAAGTTCCTTGAAATTTTGTATATTAATTATTTGCTATTATTCGCTGATAACTTGAAAATATATTTACCGGTAAATTCAATTGATGACTCAAACCCATTATAAAAAGATCTAGATGAATTTTCAAAATGGTGTAATCTTAACGGGTTGTCAGTTAACCCTTCTACATGTAAATACATCTCATTTAATCGTCAGAAAAATAAAACTCTAGTCACATATAAAATAAATAACTTCGAATTACAGAATATAAATAAAGTGACTTAAGTGTTCCGTTATCTTCTGATCTAACATTCAATGTCATATTGACACCATTTATAGTAAAGCTCTACGGGACTATCGGTTTAATAAATCGAAACTGTTATGAATTCAAAAATATTAATTGTCTAAAGCATTGACGTATATAGGGGGGGGGGGGGGGGGTGCCTAGTGGGCTGCAGCACCCCCTCCCCCTCGAAATATTTACAAAAAACTTAAAAATTATTTTAAACTTGATAAAATCCAACGATTAGATTTATAAGAAGATTTTTATAGGAGATGTAGTAGATTTTTAAGAATAATATCATACAAACAAGTTCGAACGAACGTTTCTTTAAATATCATATCTTTAGAATTAGGATAAGAACATTGAGCTTCTAGAAGATTATTTGACGATGTAGCTTTTGTTCATAAAGTAATAAATGGTAAACTATCATGCTCAGCATTTTTAAATTCTTAAGTAAAATAAATTTTAAAATTCTATTTCAACTCAAGAAACAATCCTCCTTTTATAGTACCTCTTTGCTCGAATAATATAAATAAAAATAGTCCGGGGTACCGACTTTTAGAAGTTTGTACTAATTTACCAAACTTTGATTTTTTTTTTTTTTTTTTTTTTTGATTCACATCTTAAATTAAAAAATTATGTAAAGAATATTAATTAATTAACTTATATTATATAACGTATATTATATACTTATCTCTTTTTATTTTCTTTTTAAACGTGTATTATTATAATATCTATTCAAATGTTTTGTAAATACAAAAACTTTACTACATACCCCTTTAGAGTATCAAAACTTTAAATAAATTAATAAATAAATAAATAAATAAATAATGCGATACGATATTGTATCCAGCAGCAATTCTTGACCGACTATGATACACGAACCTCTTTACAATTAATTTTGAAGTCATAGACCACCGCGTGTACAAGCAAAAAAATAATTGTATTTCAATAGTAAATACTTAATTCGTACATTTTAATTTAACATCTGCGCGTATTGTTATTGTTTGCGGGTACGATCAGAAAAACGGTTTAATCGGGGACCACAGGTTAAAAACTACTGAATTATATATTCTATACCAATAACGGGGAACGAACATGCCAATGAAATTTATTGACAAACATTCGGTCGACTTAACCTTTCTAACCGACGACCAGAACAATATATGGTAGTATATTATTGCTTAAACAATTGTCAACGGCTTATAGCAAAGGTCCACTGGTGAAAACAGATAGCTGGATCGTCTATATAATACTATCTTATTTAAATACGTTAATTTAATTTTTCAAATACTTATTTACTTTACAATACTTTAAAATACAACTTTTATAATAATTTATTTAAAAATATAATATTATTTTATTAGATTTATCGTAATCAGTTGCTCTGTAAATTATATTTAACATTATAATTATTTTAAAACGTTTTGTATTTAAATCTGTTTTCATTAAAATCGATTAATATACATGCATACATGTTATATAAAATTGCACCTAAATATTAATACTACATAAAAATAATATTCTTCAGAAACTCGGAAACTAGGCTTATTGTGAAGACAAGAGTTCTTATAGTTTATATTTATTAAAAATTGTCAATATTATAGTATTGTACAGAATAAATGTAATAAGCATGATTGGAGTTTCAACAATTTCAATATTTTTAAATACGAGGCATGTCCAGAAAGTAAGTGTACTCAATTTTTGTAGGCTTTAAAAAAATTTATAAAAAAAAAAAAATAACGTGGTTACATTAATATATTTGTGTGCTATTTTTCTACATAGTCACCATTTCTTTCAATGCAGGTTGTGAAACGGTAGATTAATTTTTTTATGCCTGCCTCGTAGAACTCTGCCGCCACCTCCTTTGTCCACATGTCGACCAACTTCTTCACTTCCTCATCAGTTGAAAATTTTTTTCCACCCATGTGTTTCTTTAAGGAAGTGAACAAATGGTAATCTGAAGGCGCCAGGTCGGGGGAATACGGGGGGTGATTCAAAACATCCAAATGAGTCCAACAATTGCTTCGTGACATTGGCCGTGTGGGGTCTAGCGTTGTCGTGCAGTAGGCAGACTCCGCTCGTTAACAGACCCCTCCTTTTATTTTGAATAGCTCTCCTCAATTTTTTTAGGGTCTCACAATACCTTGCTGCGTTTATGGTCTCCCCCTGAGGTAAATATTCAATCAATATTATGCCTTTGTGGTCTCAAAACACTGATGCCATGATTTTTTTGGCTGAAATGGTGGTTTTGAACTTTTTGGTTGAGGGTGAAGTGGTGTGACGCCACTGTTCGGACTGTCTCTTGGTTTCAGGTGTATAGTGTGCAATCCAAGTTTCATCTCCAGTAACAATGGACTTGAGAAAATTATCACCGTCCAGTTCATAGCGTTCCAAAAACTCTCTGGAGGCTTGCACTCGATTCAACATGTGTTGTTCAGTAAGCTGTTTTGGGACCCATCTTGCGCACAGTTTATGAAATCCAAGTGTTTCTGTGATTGTTTCGTGGAGCAGAGACCTTGACAGTTGTGGAAACATTGCAGAAAGTTCATCTAGAGTCAATCTGCGATCGTCACGGACCGCATACTCGACTTTTTTCACAATGTCGTCAGTCAAAATCGACGGTCTCCCGCTCCTCAGATTGTCATGTACATTCGTACGGCCGTTTTTAAACTCCCTACACCACTTGTATACACTGGTACGATTCATATTGCCTTCACCATAAACGGTTCGTACCTCATTAAAAATTTCATGTGGAGATTTTTCCTTCGCAACAAGATAACGGATAACGGCGCGGATTTCGCACTTGGCGGCAGACTCGATCGACATGTTTAACAAGAAAAATTCGTACGACCACAGTTTTCAACGTACTGAACTCGTTCTGATCTTGTTTTAAAGTTTAGAAGTAAATCTTTACGGCAGTGTAGCCAACATAGTAAAAAAATATTCCCTGTGGCCGTGAGAGCCTTAGTACACTTACTTTCTGGACACGCCTCGTACATTAATATTTTCATAAACCACTTATTAATACAATTTAAAGAATGCTAGCAAACTAAAAGCATATAATATATAAATTAAATTATAATTTTTTTATTAAAACCAAGTAATAGCTAATAAATAATATAACAATTTACATTTTTTTCCACGGACAATACATTCTTTTTAATCTTCAACACCGATAAAAATAATTTGTTCATCCCTGGGCTCTAGATTTTTATGAATGTATAAATTGTATTTTTTCTGCAGTGAAACAGAAAAAGAATTGCGATTACCGAAAAAGTAATAATATCATTATATCATGCAATCGAAAACGATATATTATTTCGGTTGATTACTATTTTACCTGTATATTATTGTTTCATTTGTCTTACTAACGTAAATAAAATAAATAAATTACGTTTGGCTAAAATATTCGACTCTGTAAGAGTTTCCGCTTCAGGCAGTATAATCAAAAGGAGAATATGAACAAATAAATTTCCACCTTCATAAATATTATCATAAATATAACGTAGCACATATTATTATTATTATTATTATTACGTGTACTGGGATTAATTTACCTAACTAAATTTAATTTCCGTTATAAAACTTAAGAATAATTCGAAGAAAATACATTTTTAGATTTTCTACAAAATGGAATGTAGATTGGCATTATATTGATGTCATTTTTATCAATAAATAAATAAATAGAAAAAGGTTAAAATAATAATACCAATACTAAAACTTACCCAATTAAATATTATTATATTATTATTTTTTTTTCAATAATTATAGTAAAATCAGATAATAGCTTTAATAGCTCAGTCATAGCTGCAGATTAAATGCAATAACTGACACTCTTATTTAATTTTTTATTTTTTTATGTTTTAATATATTTTAAATAAGAAAATAATCAGTAGAAACAAAACAATACACCATAATAGGAAATAAATTAAAAAATAATAAAGAACTTAATATAATCTTGTATAAAAGAAGAAGAAAAAATAAAAAGTCGCGCAATTTTGTTGTAATAAAAAAGATAAAAATAATAAATAGCGGAAAAAATAATTAAAACGATTTATAGAAGATCAATTACCAATATAATCACAGAAAAAAAATTTAGAATACTGAATTTAAAGTAAATGGTTTACAATGGTTAGCTTGGATAAAAATAAAAACTCGATAAATTTATCTGTATTCTTATGGTTATGCTGAACTATATAAAAGGCTTGTTAATTATTTAGGAGAAGATTATCCATATCATATTTCGGGTAAAATTCAATAGATTTCTACTTAACAATCCACCTTCATGCGGTATTTGTGTATAAAAATA